GGAAGGAGTCTGTGTTGAGAACGATGGAACAAGGTTGTGCCAATTGGTAAAGTCTTTTCTTCTCTCCCTGACATGATGTGACTAACTTGGGGTTCTAGAATGGCAACCAAGTAAGTACATTTGAAGTCGAGCAATAAGCTCGAACCTGAGAACTGGGACAGGGCTTCATCGTTTGCGACTGCATCATCGGCTCCGACTGCAGCAACATCAGCTGCTAAATGTCTCTCTTGACATGAAATGCACAGAGGCCAGGGTGTCAGTGAGTTTCACGCTCATTTCCGCACACATTTTGATAAACTGATCCAGGTTATTCTAAACCTGAGCTTGTTTTGCATGCTTTGTAGTACCTAGTCCTGAAGGATTGCAACTAACCTGTGTCTTGAACAATGCCTTTGCTGGCCCCAGGGCGTTCCGTTCCAAAGTCCAAAGGACTATGCTGTTCTCATAAGACATGGATGCGGGTGGTAGGTACCAAAGCGGCCGCTCTAGTAAGAAATCTAACCGCTCTCACCTGAAAGCTTACCAATACCGAGTGATACCAGTGCGTGTACAGAATTATTACGTGACCAGCCCAAAATACGAGTCCTGCCTTTTCGGAGGAGTTCCTGCAACATTTTCCACTTTCCTTGCTGTCGGAGACTTCAACCCAGAGTTTCTCCCGCCTCAGCCGATCTCGGATATGGGAACGGCATTGAAGATTCGAGTATAGCGCTTGCTTACTACAGGAGGATTGTATTGAGGCAGCTAGGCTACGAGTGCACCGCGAAGGGGAGTTCCTAATCAGTGTAATGGAACGTATAAAAGGAGGATGCTTCAACGCTCGAAAGTAAATCATTCCACTTCGAACATAAACGCGAACTTCAAGTCACAATTACAATATCATCTGCCGTGAGATATGTCTCAAGCGCAAAATATTACGATCAAAGGTCCCAACAAAACGACAACTGTGGGGAGAATTGGGTACGGATTGATGGGACTGTGAATACCTCCTCTTCACATCGATCCGCAACTCACGACGCGTTACAATAGCACTGGAAAATCTGTACCTGTATCCGACGAGCAAGCTTTCGAAGCTATCAAAACCGCCATTGATGCGGGCGCTACCTTCTTGAACGCAGGTATGCCTTGCACTTAACCCTTCCGCCCATCTTCCTCACTTGCGGGTCACAGGCGAATTCTATGGTTATCCGCCTGATACGGAGGCGAACCTCAAACTCCTGAATCGATTTTTCACCAAATATCCGGAATATGCGAGCAAATGCTTTCTATCCGTCAAAGGCGCATTTTGGAAGGAGTCTGTGTTGAGAACGATGGAACAAGGTTGTGCCAATTGGTAAAGTCTTTTCTTCTCTCCCTGACATGATGTGACTAACTTGGGGTTCAAGAATGGCAACCAAGTAAGTACATTTGAAGTCAAGCAATAAGCTCGACCTGAGAACTGGGACAGGGCTTCATCGTTTGCGACTGCATCATCGGCTCCGACTGCAGCAACATCAACTGCTAAACGTCTCTCTTGACATGAAATGCACAGAGGCCAGGGTGCCAGTGAGTTTCACACTCATTTCCGCACACATTTTGATAAACTGATCCAGGTTATTCTAAACCTGAGCTTGTTTTGCATGCTTTGTACCTAGTCCTGAAGCATTGCAACTAAACCTGCGCCTTGAACAACATCTTTGCTAGCCCCAGGCCGTTCTGTTTCACACTCTGCTGCTCTCGTGTTAAGACATAGATACAGTAGTCGGTATCAAAGCGGCCGCGCTTTGAGTAAGAAAGTTCACTCCTTTCACCTGAAAGCTTAGCTTAGCAATACCGAGTGACATAGTGCGTGGACAGAATTACTACGTGACCGACCCAAAATGCGAGTCCTGCCTTTTCGGAGGAGTCTCTGCAACATTTTCCACTTTCCTTGCTGTCGGAGGCTTCATCCCAAAGTTTCTCCCGCCTCAGCCGATCTCGGATATGGGAACGGCATCGAAGATTCGAGTATAGCGCTTGCTTACTACAGGAGGATTGTATTGAGGCAACTAGGCTACGAGTAGCACCGCGAAGGGGAGTTCCTACTCAGTGTAGTGGAACGTATAAAAGGAGGATGCTTCAACGCTCGAAAGTAAATCATTCCACTTCGAACGTAAACGCGAACTTCAAGTCACAATTACAATATCATCTGCCGTGAAATATGTCTCAAGCGCAAAATATTACGATCAAAGGTCCCAACAAAACGACGACTGTGGGGAGAATTGGGTACGGATTGATGGGACTGTGAATACCTCCTCTTCACATCGATCCGCAACTCACGACGCGTTACAATAGCACCGGAAAACCTGTACCTGTATCCGACGAGCAGGCTTTCGAAGCTATCAAAACCGCCATTGATGCGGGTGCTACCTTCTTGAACGCAGGTATGCCTTGCACTTAACTTTCCGTCCATCTTCCTCACTTGCGGGTCACAGGCGAATTCTACGGCTATCCGCCTGATACGGAGGCGAACCTCAAACTCCTGAATCGATTTTTCACCAAATATCCTGAATATGCGAGCAAATGCTTTCTATCCGTCAAAGGCGCATTTAGCATGAAGACCTTCCAGCCAGATTGCTCGACTGATGGTCTCAGGAGGAGCGTTGGGAGGATAACAGAGTTGCTTGGAGAGCACAAGCGATTGGATCTTTTCGAACCTGCCAGGAGTTCGTCCCTCTTGTTTCTTGCAAACATGAGCCAAATTTTGATACATGCTGATAATAGTCGATCCTAAGGTCCCCATCGAGCAGG